TTGGCTTAGGAGGATGATTGACTGTGTAGCCCTTGAGTAGACTTTGAACCATTTGAGGTGATTGATCTTGGCAAATCTTGAAGAATATGGGAGGGCAAATTTTGGGGTACAACACCAGTCGAAGGAGACAAAGGAAAGTCGAAGGGCATGACTCCACTGACTCCAACCCCTAGTCGAAGGAGACAAAGGAAAGTCGAAGGGAATGACTCCATTGACTCCAACCCTTGGTCGAAGGAGACAAAGGAAAATCGAAGGGCATGACTCCACTGACTCCAACCCCCAGTCGAATAAGACAAAGGAAAATCGAAGGGCACGACTCCACTGACTCCAGACCCCAAATCGAAGGAAACCAAAGAACACAGAATCGAAGGGTGTTCCTGCCTGAATCGAAAGACCTTTTTTTTCTTGCCTTTATTTTATTTTTGCCTTTATAATTTCATGCTATTCAATATGGTTGTAATAGTGTAGGTTTTTATATTTTTACATTTTATTATTTTTGTATGCTTGCTAGTAAAATAGGAAATGTATGGCAAGATAAAATCAACAAGTAGACAACCCCTAATCAAAGACTAAATGCATGCGAATCAAACACACTATTCATACATGCACCCCTAGGGTAATTCCATTTGTTGCCTTATAAAAAATTGTCATGTTATGCATGTGGGATGTCTTAGCAAAAATAATCGAAATACAAGATCATAGTCCCTCGATGACGCTACAAATGTTGCCTTACAAGTGATCTTAGTCCCTACAAGAGAATGCTAAGATATCTCACAACATTGCTATCATGACTATATGATGACCCACGTCCGTCCTTTCACATCCAACGATGGGGCTTCTTACCAAATAAATGGTAAGATAGTAAGATCTAAAGGAGGAGGAAAAACACATCTAAGACCTTTTGAGTAGGTAGGTTACTTTTAGTTACTTGCTCAATTTCAAAACAAACATCCTTGCTATTTTAAAAAACAATCACATACACTTTCAAAACACTTTCCAAACATGAAATATTTTCAAAAGCTCAACATTTTGTATACGTTCTTATGAACGAGAACTATTACAAAGTTTTCCTAAACGATGACACCTTTTCAAAATACTTTCAAAAATCACACAAAACACATTTTTCAAACAAAAGCAAGTGATCTATCAAGTAACTAAGAGCCCATGGAAAACCATGGATGAAAAGGGTGCTAATACCTTCCCTTTTCATAATCTACCCCCTGAACTCAAGAAAATATCTCAAAGGTCTTTCCTGTGCTTTTTCACCTTTCCTTTTGGATAAAAGAAAAGTCGGTGGTGGCTCTTGCTAACCGCAACATTTGCGATAAAACGCAAAAATCTCAAGTCAGTTCTCCCACCGTATCACATTTTTCCTTGTTAATCATCAGTGGGGATGCATTTCGTAATATTTTGGATAATTTTATTTTGCTTTGCATACAATATTTAAGCCCTTCCGAGGCCTTTTGACCATATTATTCATGTCCTATAATAGTGTTGTATGTTGGGGAGTCTGGGAGAGTCGGGAGCACCAATGAGACAATGCTCCAGGACCACAAGAGAGGGAGACGCCACATCTCAACCCAAAATCTTAAGGTGTTAGATAAATGGTTCATCTCTCTAATAAATCTAACATTACACCCATTCATAGGCAATATAGGACTATAATCACTCACACTTGCACCCAACATTCTCCACCACAAGTGTGAGTCCCCACATCCTGTAACAAGATCCAACACCGGATCCAGCTCCCGCTCCCCCACCAAGCCAAACCAGGCTCTAATACCACTATTGGGGAGTCTGGAAGAGTCAAGAGTACCAATGGGACCAATGGGACCAATGCTCCAGGACCACAAGAGAGGGAGACACCACATCTCAATCCAAAACCCTAAGGTGTTAGGTAAATGTGTCATCTCTCTTATAAATCCAACATTCCACCCATTCATAGGCAATGTGGGACTATAACCACTCACACTTGCACCCAACATTCTCCACCACAAGTGTGAGTCCCCACATCCTACAACATGATCCAACATCGGATCCAGCTCCCGCTCCCCACCAAGCCGAATCACGACTCTGATACCACTTATTAGGGAGTCCAGAAAAGTCAGGAGCACTAATGAGACCAATTCTTCAGGACCACAAGAGAGGGAGACGCCACATATCACCCAAAACCCTAAGGTGTTAGGTAAATGGGTCATCTCTCTTATAAATCTAACATTCCACCCATTCATAGGCAATGTGGGACTATAACCATTCACCTTGCACCAAAAATTATTGGGGTTTTTGGGTTGAGATGTGGCGTCTCCCTCTCTTGTGGTCCTGGAGCATTGGTCCCATTCGTGCTCCCGACTCTCTTGGACTCTCCAACAGTTGTATCAGAGTCGTGGTTCGACTTGGTGCGGGAGCAGGAGTTGGATCCGATGTTGGATTCTGTTATAGGATGTGGGGACTCACACTTGTGCTGGAGAATTTTGGGTGCAAGTGTGAGCGGTTATAGTCACACATTGCCTATGAATGGATGGAATATTGGATTTATAAGAGATAAGACTCATTTACCTAACACCTTAAGGTTTTGGGTTGAGATGTGGTGTTTCCCTCTCTTGTGGTCCTGGAGCATTATTCTCGTTGGTGCTCCCGACTCTCTTGGACTCCCCAACATCATAGCCTTAATGCGCTTTATTTCTTTAATCAGTAGTTTATTTGCTTGGTAGACTTGTACCGTAGCGATTCACACGCCTCATTGTGTCAGGATCTATTGCCTGAGGATCCTGAAAGACCTCGACTTAGCATACCAGGTCGGATCAGCCCTAGGGTGGACGTACCCTGGCTGGACTTCCTCGCAATACAACAACCTTTACCCGGTCTTGACTGGGATTCCTTGCAGTATAATGACTTTTATCAGGTTATGAGGATATTAACATTACCCGACTAGAGGTATGTTAACATAGCCGAGGTGTCAGAGGTATATTAATATGGATATTTAATATGGTCAGAGGTATATTAACATGGCCGAGGTACCAGAGGTATATTAACATGACCCTTTAATATGGTTAGAGGTTTATTAACATAACCATACCAGAGATATGTTAACATAGTCGAGGTGTCATATGTATATTAACATGACTATTTAATATGGTCAGAGGTATATTAACATAAACGGGCAAGAGGTATGTTAACATATATGAGATACCAGAGGTATATTAATATGACTATTTTAATATGGTCAGAGGTATATTAACTTAACCTGGCTGTTATAGAGGTTCCTCGGAAACATCAGGCACGTTCCCAACCTATGTGTTGAGATCGATTTCTTTTGTTATTTTTTTCCTTTCTGTAGAACATATAAAAATATTATCACATATTAATATGAACTATGAGTGCCTAATTAAGAACCAATTCCCTTGCAAGGGAAACAAGTGCTACCCCGTTATTTTTATTCAATAATGTCATTACATAATTTTAACTGTAATAAAATCTTAGGCGGTCAATATTCCAAGCTCTAAGTATTTCAATTCCTTCTAAGATCTCAAACTTATAAGCTCCATTATTTAGCCTTAGTCGAATTCTAAAGGGTCATTCCCAGTTTGGAGAAAGCTTTTCCTTCTTTTTTGGATTCGTAATCCTCTTCAAGACTAAATCACCTTCTCAGAAATTTCTTAGACGAACTTTGGTATTAAATCTCTATTGGAACGAAATTGTTCACATCCCTTGAATTTTGATGATAACAAAGTACTTAAAGAACAATTGGGTATACTAACATTTGTTTAAGTGTGCAGGATAATAAGCTTAAAATTAACTTGATTCTGACCCTGTTAAATAATTTATAAAGAGAAGCTAAAGTCTTAGATTCTGAAGGATCAGAATCTGATGACTCGGGCTCGATATCTCTACTTTTGGTGACATCCCAGATTCTGATGATCTAGATAAAATGTACTTAGCTTCTGGTTCGCACTTTGTCCCTAAATCAGAACCATCTTGTCCCAGCCAGTTTTTGGAGAAAGTCAACTAGATTTTCTGAAGTGCAAGGCTCAAGAAAAATTGATTGGACATCTTAAGTCTACTCCAATATTTTGGTAGATACCTAGTATGAAGAAAGATGCAGTGGACAAAACCTTTATACAAAAGTTGAGGATCTTAATTAGATCAACTTCCAACGTCTCTCTCTTGAAATTGCTTCTCAGCAAAGACACTTGTACAAATCATCTTCCAACTACTCTTTTGTTGCTTCTATTTAAGGAGCTGAAGATTTTAAGGAAAATAACAAGAATAAGAAGATTAACAACAACAAATCAATAACTAAAAGCTTTCGTACATATTTTATTGTATTGCACATAGTCTTGAAATTTTTTATATTTGTATATCTTAAAAATCTCAAGTGTTAAAGTCTTTGATTATGTTATATTCTTTGTACATATCTAATTGTATATAAAGTACATCTTATTGTCTATCGTCTAAATTATTTATTTAAAAGTTTAGTGAAAGTCTGATACTAAATTGTTTGAGAAAAAAAAAGTCTTCTACTAGATTGTTTGAGCAGAACTTTCTTTCATCATTTGTGGTTAACTCCACGACTTTTTTTTTTTTTTAAATAGGAGTTTATGTTTTTGACCAAAATTTCAATTAAAAGGACTATTTGAGAGAAAAAAAAAGAGACCAAAATAGTTTAACCCAATATCATAAATAAATAATATATCTCTATATCAATTTTGCAATGCATAAGCGACCTAGTAGCCACCATTGTAATCCAAGCACGCTGGTTGTTCTTATTGTGATTTTTCATTTCTTCTTCACCATTTCTCTTCAATCATTGTAACAGGCGCAAAACTCTGCGACGGAATTTACACGCGCTGCACCTGCACCACCGTAGAAGCCAGAGGTCGCTCCCTCCGCGCGGCCCCGATCGCGACCCAATTCACCGCGATTAACTACCTAGTTTTGGAATGCAGTAGATGGTATATATTTAACCTGCTTAATTGAATTTCGAGAATTTGCCTACTGACATGAATAAGGGTAGACATTCTCTGAAATGGGTTCTCTTGGATTTAATCGAGAGGTGCAATGATTTGAGATCCTTCAAGCAAATTTATGCACAGCTCTTGACTTCTACCCTTGTTACTAATGACTTGGTTCTCCCAAAAGCTGCAAACTTTTTTGGGAAACATGTCACTGATATTCATTACCCTTGCAATTTCTTGAAGCAATTTGATTGGAGCTTGAGCTCTTTTCCTTGTAATTTGATAATTTCCGGCTATGGCGCTGGTCGCTTACCTTGGGCTGCAATCCTGATTTATAGATGGTCTGTCCGTAATGGGTTTGTGCCTGATGTGTATACTGTCCCAGCAGTTTTGAAATCATGTGCTAAGTTTTATGGTATTGGGGAGGTTAGACAGTTTCATACGTTGGCTGTTAAGTCTGGCTTGTGGTGTGATATTTTTGTGCAAAACTCTCTTGTTCATGTTTATAGCATTTGTGGGGATAATGTAGATGCTGGTAAGGTGTTTGATGTTATGCTTATGAGAGATGTGGTCTCTTGGACTGGTTTGATATCTGGGTATGTGAAGGCTGGGTTGTTTAATAATGCTGTTGAATTGTTTTTGAGAATGGATGTGGTGCCTAATGTAGCTACATTTGTTAGTATTTTTGGGGCGTGTGGGAAATTGGGTTGTTTGAAATCGGGGAAGAGGATTCATGGGTTGGTTTGTAAATATCCGCATGGAAAGGAGTTGGTGGTGAGGAATACTGTGATAGATATGTATATGAAGTGCGAGTCTGTCTCTGATGCAAAACAATTGTTTGGTGAGATCCTTGAAAAGGACATTGTTTCTTGGACTATTATGATAAGTGGATTAGTGCAATGCCAGTATCCACAGGTATCAATTGATTTGTTCTGTGAAATGCTGGATTCAGGTTTTGAGCCTGATGGGGTTATACTAACCAGTGTGCTTTCTGCTTGTGCTAGTCTTGGGCTTCTTGATTATGGAAGATGGGTTCATGAATACATTGATCGTAGACGTATCAAATGGGATGTTTATTTAGGAACATCATTGGTTGACATGTATGCAAAATGTGGTTGTATAGAGATGGCTCAACATGTCTTCAATTTGTTGCCTTCTAAGAATATCCGTACTTGGAATGCCTATATTGGCGGTCTAGCAATAAATGGGCATGGAAAAGAAGCACTAAAACAATTTGGATATTTGGTTGAATCTGGTACAAGGCCTAATGAGGTTACATTTCTAGCTGTTTTCACGGCTTGCTGCCATTCTGGCTTGGTTGATGAAGGTCGTAGCTATTTCAATCTGATGACAAATCCCCCCTACAATCTTTCTCCCTTGTTAGAACACTATGGTTGTATGGTTGATTTGCTCTGCAGGGCTGAATTGGTGGGGGAAGCTATGGAGTTGATAAAGAAAATGCCCATGCCACCAGATGTGCAGATCCTAGGAGCTCTTTTGAGCGCCTCCAATACATATGGAAATGTCAAATTAACCCCTACAATGTTGAAATCACTTCCAAATTTTAAATGCCAAGAGAGTGGTGTATACGTGCTTCTGTCTAATCTATATGCAACTGATAAGAAATGGGCAGAAGTAAGGAATATTAGGAGATTGATGAAGGAAAAAGGAATATCCAAGGCTCCAGGTTCTAGCCTTATAAGGGTGAATGGTAAGAGTCATAAATTTTTAGTTGGAGATAACAGCCATCCTCAAAGTGAGGATATTCACATTCTATTAAACATCCTTGCCAATCAAACCTACCTTGAGGGTTATATTGATACTCTCTCTTGATCAAACAGCCGCATCAAGATGAGAGTAGCTATTGTTCCTCATATAAAAAAAAGATGTTTAGTTTAAATTGCAGCTATGGAATGCGGCAACTCATCAACAATGCGTTCATTATAGCAAAGGTTCATATGAACTCCAAATAATGTTGGTCGTATTGGTATATAACTTTGGAGAGCAATTTATGTATATAATCAAATGTCTCAGGAGATGTTTCCAAAATTATTTTAGGATATCTTGAGCTTGGGCATGCTAAATATTTACCGACAACACTTTATTCTGTTAAATCCATCACACATTGACCTGAGATGTGGGGGGCAAGGATACACATGCATTATAGAGTGCTAACATGAAGAAACAAATTCTACAATTGGGTCATTGTATTGCCGAAATGGTAAGCTCTGCTCAAAAGTCAGAATTTTCTTGATAAAAACGCCTTAAATTATAGCATATATTAACTTATTATAAGATTAAATCTGACAGTAAGAATTTAATCATGTGGAGCATCTTATGTTTTAATTGATAAAGTGTCAATTGGTAAGATTGATGAAAACCAGAAATGCTAGATTTTTCAGCTCCATATGAAGTTCCTTGCCTTCATCAGAAACCTTTTCGGAATTCTTTATCATTGTTCCTTAATGCCTTGTTTGTTTATTTTGTGGTTTTGCAATGTAATATCAATTATGGGGTCGTTTGTTCATAAATATTTCAAATTTTGATTCCAAACTTGCTTATTTCATGGCTTCCTGAACTGGAATTTTTTACTTCTAATAGTGGTTGATTCTGTTATGTTACAGGTTTCCCGATATTTGACAAAGAGGCCTATGCATTGACCATCATAATATGCAGCTCTTCCACCAACAGACTCATAACCGCAAAGAACCATGCCTCTGTTCTAATAACATTGACCATATACGAGAGTGGTGTCTATGCTGGTCAAAATCCCATTTTCCTCGTCCATGGTTTCGTCTGAGCACAGGTCCGTTTGATAATTTTCTAAACGCATTGCTGAATTACACGATTGTCATTTCTCAATTTCTCCACTACATGAGGATTACCCTCAGAACTGATGTTATGGGAACTCATTTCCCATGAGTTTAGTTGTAAACGTCCTTATTACTAATCACTCACCCCCCAATTTAATACATTTGTAGGTGGGATGGAGGTCCAAGGGTGATTTGTAAATAAAAACCAAATTGAGGGGTAATTCGATCTTTTAGCAATCTAGTCAGGGGAAGTTAAGACGAATCCTTCATTTTTCCTCTTCCCATTCTCTCTCTTCACTAAAGCCAGTTCAGAAATTCTGTCCTTCTTCCTCTAAGACCAAGCAACCTAGTAAAAGAAGAAGAAAAGCGACCTTCTTGAAGAAAAGAGAAAGTAAACATGCAATAGGAAGGGCTAAGGTCTTGAAGTAGGAGCATTAAGATTTACCTCTCCTTCCAACTCAAATTTTCTCCTTGAAATCAGGAGCAAGAGGCAAAAGTGGGTTCCCTTACTTAAGCTTGAATCTTAGTAATAGTATGATTAGGGATTTCCTTCATGAAATGATGATTTAACGGTTTGCATGTGAAATTTGTTATGATTACAGGATTGTGGCTGTGTATTTTTGTATGTTGGATACTCAAATGTACTTAGAATCATTAGGAAGGATCAGGATTGAATTAAGAGTCGATGGTTGTGTATTTTTCTGGGTTTGAAAGCTGTACAGGAAAATTGAAGTTCTGGTGTGCTACAGGCCGTAATGGCTGCTACGGACAGCCCATAGCCACCTCTGATTTTTGTACTAGGAGGAGAATTGGGGCCTGCTACGGGCAGTAGTGGACCCTACGGCTAGGTCTTAGCTGCCTCGGGTTTTTGTACCAGAAGGCGTGCTGGGCCTGCCACGGGTCGTAGCAGCCTTGTATTGCACCCAAGCCTCCACCTTCTCATAGTCCAATGCTTCTTCATTACTCAAGGACTGTGAAGCAAGAGCCTGGTGGTTAAATTCAAGACATAGAATCCCTTTAGACATAGGCTTAAGATCGAATTCGTTAAGAGTAGGTTGACTTAAACTAGAAAATCTAGTACTAGTGTGTTGTTGAAGTAACCATGGAAGAAATGAGATGTAGTTTAGTTATCTAAGGGACATGGTTATTTGGAGTGTTATTCAGAAGAAAGTGGCATGTAACACGAAGACATTTTAATAGAGTGGCATTTGGTGTATCGAAGTGAATACATATGTTGGATTACAATCTCAGGCAAGTGATTGTCTGATGATCCAATTTGAGAGATGTGTGATTTCATCCTGGTAACTTATTGGAGGGTATGCTACTTACCCCAGTACTAAATTAGAGGATATGCGCAACTCGGTAGAGGAATATGTGATTTATTCCTATCAGTGATGGATATGTGATTTATCTCGGTGATCCGGTCATGTAGATATGCGACTTATCTCATGATTCAGTTGTAGCCTGTAGGACATGTGATTTGACCTCGTGATTCAGTTGTAGCCTGTAGGACATGTGATTTGACCCAGTACGGTGTAATGAGACAAAAGAATAATAGCCTTCTAGAAACAAGTGAGTCAGCACAACAGATACGGGTCCCACAGCACATGGAGGAAAAATGTGAGGCTTCCACTAGTGGTGAGGCACAACCACGCAGAGGAGAGAGAGCAAGGAAGGCGCATAGCATGTGGAAGGAATTTGTGAAACCTTAATGCCAGCTATATATATTGTACTAGGAGAATATTTGATGTATGTGTGATTTGTAGGGTGATTATTCTTCTCCCTCTATTCTCTTTTCACATCTGAGTCTGTAAACAACTTGCTGCTAAAGTTGTTAACATTAATCTCTCTTATTCCTATTGTGGCTGCAATATATATATCCTATCATTCCCATATATATCTTGTGATACTGTTTCATTGGTGCTTTCACCAGCCATGGCCAACCCTCAACACAAAGAAATGCAAGAAGATATCAAGCGCAACACGGAAGAACTGAAGCTATTTCAGACAGAAATACTAGAACGTATGGAGCGACTGGAAGTTGGGAACGCATCAAAGTTCGACGAGATTCACACAGCGCTTGACATCCTTATTCAGCAAACACCGTCGAAAAATCGCCATGGTCCAGAACTCAACAACAGACCTCCGTTTCAGGTGAGAAATATCAAACTTGAGTTTCCTCGTTTTGACGGCACGAATGTGCATGAATGGATTTTTCGTGCTGAGCAGTTTTTTGGGTATTATGATACCCCGGATCATGATAGATTAACTATTTCCTCTGTACATCTTGATAAAGATGTTGTGCCTTGGTTCCAAATGGTACAACGTTCTAATCCGTTTCATTCTTGGCTGGAATTTACTCGTGCTTTAGAATTAGATTTTGGACCATCCATATATGAATGCCCTCGCGCCACATTGTTTAAATTGAATCAAACAGGAACGGTTTCTGAGTATTATCTTCAGTTCACTGCTTTAGCTAACCGAGTTTATGGGTTAAGCAATGATGCTTTAATCGATTGCTTCATTAGTGGACTCAATACTGAGATTCGTCGAGACGTGTTAATCCATACACCCACCTCCATTGTCAAAGCAGTTTCATTAGCCAAAGTCTATGAAGAAAAATACACCCAATCAACCAAACCACAAAAAAGCAACCCAAACACTTACTACAAACCACCCTTCAATTCAGCCAAACCAGAAAACAACCAAAAAAATACTACTCCCATCCTTAACACACCCCCCACGAGACCTATGAGCCAATTCCAAAAGAACCCCAATATCAAACGCATCTCACCTGCTGAAATGCAACTGAGAAGAGACAAGGGCTTATGTTATTGGTGCGATGACAAGTTCTCCTTCACTCATAAATGTCCCAATAGACAACTGATGCTGCTCCATTATGATGATTCAGATGAACCAGTCAATGTAGTGGAAGAAACACAAAATGATGAAATCACAGATAATCCTCACCAGCAACAACCTCAACATCATTTATCCTTAAATGCCATGAAAGGCGATTCTAATTTGGGCGTACTTAGATTTTCTGGTCTAATTGGAAATATCAAGGTACAAGTGCTAATTGATGGAGGCAGTTCAGATAACTTCTTGCAACCTCGCATAGCCAAATTTCTGAAAATACCTATTGAACCAGGGCCACCTTTCAGAGTGCTGGTGGGAAATGGTGATTTGATGACTGCCGAAGGGGTCATTCAAGAGTTACCATTAAATATACAAGGCAATGAGTTGAAAGTCCCTGTGTTTTTACTACCGGTAGCTGGAGCAGATGTGATATTGGGAGCAGCTTGGTTAGCTACATTAGGACCCCATGTAGCTGATTATGCTTCACTTACATTGAAGTTTTTTTCCAGTAGTAAGTTTGTGACACTCGAAGGGGAAAGAGCTCCCACACCAGCAATAGCACAATTACACCATTTTAGGCGATTCCACAACACTGATGCTATAGCTGAATACTTTACCATCCAATGGCAAGAAAATTATACTGCCGAAGATGTTTTGAAAGAGTTGCCTAACAACATTGATCCTGAGTTGGCAATATTATTGCACACCTACAAATGTTTGTTTCACCAGCCAAATACATTGCCACCCAACAGAGCTCATAATCACCATATTCCTTTGATAGAGGGCTCTAACCCTGTGAAGGTTAAGCCATACAGGTATCCTCACAGCCAGAAGGCTCAAATTGAGCACATGGTTCAGGAAATGCTACAACAGGGGATTATACAGCCAAGCACAAGTCCTTTTTCTTCACCAATCATATTGGTGAAAAAGAAAGATGGCACATGGAGGTTCTGTACTGATTATAGGGCTCTAAATGCTATAACTGTCAAGGATTCATTTCCAATTCCTACAGTTGATGAGCTATTAGATGAGCTCTTTGGAGCTGAATACTTCTCAAAGTTGGACCTCAGGTCTGGTTATCATCAAATACTGCTACAACCAGAAGATAGATACAAGACAGCATTCAGAACACACCAAGGTCACTATGAATGGCTGGTCATGCCATTTGGTCTAACAAATGCTCCAGCCACATTCCAGAGTCTCATGAATCACATTTTTCAGCATGCTTTGAGAAAGTATGTGTTAGTCTTCTTTGATGACATACTAATCTACAGCCCTACATGGCAGGAGCATTTGAAACATTTAGATGAGGTATTAAGTATACTGCAAGCTAATACAATGTTCATCAAACTGTCTAAGTGTTCGTTTGGGGTTTCTGAGATTGATTACCTTGGACATATAGTAACAGGACAAGGTGTTTCCATGGACAAGGACAAAATACAAGTTGTTCAAGAGTGGCCTCTACCTAAGAATGTTAAGCAATTACGAGGGTTCTTGGGCCTCACAGGGTATTATAGAAGATTTATAAAATCTTATGCTAAGTTGGCTGCCCCATTGACTGATTTACTAAAAAAAGAGAGCTATGTGTGGAATGAACAGGCTGAGATAGCTTTTAATCAATTGAAGAAGGTCATGATTTCTGCTCCTGTATTGGCCTTACCCAATTTTAAAAAACCATTTATACTGGAAACAGATGCTTCTGGGGTAGGGGTGGGTGCAGTGTTGCATCAAGAGGGTCACCCTATAGCCTATTTTTCAAAGAAGCTAGTCCCTAGAAATCAAAAGAAATCAGCTTATTTTAGAGAGATGTTAGCTATTTCTGAAGCAATAGCAAAGTTCAGACACTATTTGCTGGGACATAGATTCATCATTCGCACGGATCAAAAGAGCTTGAGGAGTTTAATGGATCAATCACTGCAGACACCAGAGCAACAACAATGGTTACATAAATTCTTGGGCTATGACTTCACCATCGAGTACAAACCAGGCAAAGAAAACATGGCAGCAGATGCTTTGTCTAGATTGATGACATTATCTTGGTCTGAACCACAGTGCAAATTTATACAATCCATTAGAGAGGAGTTGCAAGCAGATAGTCAATGGAAAGAAGCCATTGATAAGTGCATACAGCAGGGCAATACATATTTACATTACACATTCAAAGAGGGATTACTCTATTGGAAAAAGAGAATTGTTATTCCCCAACATAAAGATTTGGTTCAGCAAGTTTTACAGGAATTTCATTCTTCTCCAATAGGGGGCCATGCTGGAATTACGAGATCTATGGCCCGAATCAAGGCTCAATTCTATTGGCCTGACATGAAGAAGGATGTATCTCAATATGTTCAGAATTGCAGTGTCTGTCAACGAGCTAAGTCATCTAATACCTTGCCTGCTGGATTGTTACAGCCATTGCCTATACCATCACAGGTATGGGAGGATGTAGCTATGGACTTTATTACTGGCCTACCAATGTCATTCGGTTTTACTACTATCCTGGTAGTAGTGGATAGACTGACAAAGTATGCTCACTTTTTACCAATGAAAAGTGATTACTCTAGCAGATCAGTTGCTGAAATCTTCATGCAGCATGTGGTGAAATTACATGGGATGCCTAAATCTATAGTTTCTGATAGAGATAAGGTGTTCACAAGCTCTTTTTGGCAACACCTATTCAAGCTACAGGGTACAACATTAGCAATGTCTTCTGCGTACCATCCTCAATCTGATGGTCAGTCTGAAGTCCTTAACAAGGGATTAGAACTGTTTCTTAGGTGTTTCACTTTTCACAATCCTAAGTCCTGGTTTAAAGCTTTGTCTTGGGCAGAATTTTGGTACAACACAGCTTTACAAACTAGCATTGGAATGACGCCATTTAAAGCTTTGTATGGGAGAAATCCACCAACTCTGACAAGATATGAACCCCATGCTAATGATCCTCCAACACTGCAGGAGGAATTGGTAGCGAGAGATAGATTGATGCAGCAGTTGAAAACTCAATTGGAGAGGGCTCAGCAATATATGAAGAAACAGGCTGACAAGCATAGAAGAGATCTGACCTTACAAGTTGGTGAGTTGGTCTTAGTGAAACTTCAACCATATAGACAACAGTCGGTTGCTCTGCGCAAGAATCAGAAATTGGGAATGAAATATTTTGGCCCGTTTGAGATCATAGCAAGAGTGGGAGAAGTTGCCTATAAGCTCAAGCTACCGGAGCATGCCAAAATTCATTCGGTTTTCCACATATCTCAGCTTAAGCCTTTCAAAGGTGTACCTCAGAATCAGTACATGCCATTACCTCTCACTATGTCTGAGACTGGACCAATCATACAGCCAACCGAAGTTTTACAAGCTCGAACCATAATCAAAGCCAATCAGAAAGTTCATCAGGTTCTTGTCCAATGGGATCAGCATCCTACAGCTGAAGCAACGTGGGAGGATATTGATGACTTGAAAAAGAAGTTTCCTTCCTACAACCTTGAGGACAAGGTTGTGTTTAATGGGGATGGTATTGTAATGAGACAAAAGAATAATAGCCTTCTAGAAACAAGTGAGTCAGCACAACAGATACGGGTCCCACAGCACATGGAGGAAAAATGTGAGGCTTCCACTAGTGGTGAGGCACAACCACGCAGAGGAGAGAGAGCAAGGAAGGCGCATAGCATGTGGAAGGAATTTGTGAAACCTTAATGCCAGCTATATATATTGTACTAGGAGAATATTTGATGTATGTGTGATTTGTAGGGTGATTATTCTTCTCCCTCTATTCTCTTTTCACATCTGAGTCTGTAAACAACTTGCTGCTAAAGTTGTTAACATTAATCTCTCTTATTCCTATTGTGGCTGCAATATATATATCCTATCATTCCCATATATATCTTGTGATACTGTTTCATACGGTCGTGATGATATGTGATTTATCAGAGTCAGTGTAGGACATGTGAGTTGTCTCGATTACCCAATAGGGGAGTATGTGACTTACCCCTCTATCCCAATTGGTTTATACGGTAATTATCTTGTAATCCAGTCAACTTCACAAGCAAAAGGCAACTTTGCCTTTGAAATGGAGGACTAGTACTATTATACAGTATGTTGTTTTGTTTCCGCTGTGTATTATTAATTTTATTGTTATTTTGTGTAACGTTTTGTGATGTTTCTCCGAAACTCAAGTACTTTTGGATGGTACTCTAAGATGTTGTTACAATGTTTTTGGTACCAAAAACTTAACATTCAGATTATTAGTCTATACATATATTTTGAGGTGTTATATTAGTTTTTTTTCTCTTTTTTTTTCTTTTTTTCTTCTTTCTGTTTTGTTCATTTTCTTCATGATTATATGAGTTAATAAACTAATATAATATTTTTGGGTTGAAATGGCTGCTATAGCAACGCCATGCCATGTTTTACTTGAACATTGTTGATACCCACCGCATATTCTCTCACTCAAAAAAGAAAGAACCAACATCAAACTCAATTGATTATCAGTTATGGGGCCGGGCCATCCTGCTAATATTGCTTGTTTTTCTGTTCAGGGCAACCGTTTGTGGCTAAAGATGAAAACTTAAGAGTCAAGCAATGTTAGGTGCGGTGATAATCTCTGTCTTGAAGGTAGTATACTGCTAAAACAGAGGAAGAAATAACAACTTAAACCACCAACAATAATAACTATAACTTGAATTTTTTAGTTTCTACGATGTATGTTCATTATGGAAAAATCTAAAATAGAGGAAGAAAAAATAACTTGAAACAAAAATATTAACTAGACTTGAACTAATCTTTTTTGTTCTTATATCCTATATTTTTTTTATAATTAGACGCGGAATATGTTAGCAAATAAACCTAATTCATAATTCCCGTCGCAATATTTGCATGAAACACCGACACCATCATTATCAACTTCTTCATCAGACCATGTTGAATGTTTCTTCAACTTGTCTGTTCCACCACATGTGTCAGAACAACAACACGAAGACAGATTTTGAACCACAACATGGTTTTTCACCCACATGCTTTTAATAAAAGACTTCACCCTCTTTCTACATCTTGCAACCATACTATTGCACGTGGAATTTTTCAATTCACCAAAGAGATCAAAACCAAGTTCTCTTCCTTCGTCATCTTCTTCACAATTAGCCATCAAAAGCATTGAATAAACATATTTAGCTTCATGATGACCCTCTGATGCAGCCTTTTTCAAATTCTCAAAACCTGATTTCACCATTGAAGTACTAAAATATTGCACCATTCCTTCACGATAAAGAATCTCCAAATTATCATTTTCTCTACAACGTCTCAAGAACGAGGTTTCTTTTTCATTTGTGAACCATGGAAGTGGAATCAAAGCAAAGTTTTCCATGGATGCATGTTGATAAACGTAACCGTCTTCAGAAGCATTCAGAAAATCTTTGCAACTTAATTTCATTTGGCAGAGATCAACCATTGAATGTGATGCAACCTTTCCAATAATCTCCACCAATAATTCGTTCGGAAGAGTTTTTACGATATTGATAGGAGAAGCATTGTTTTTCTTCTTTGGTTTATTAATTTCCTTCTTGGCTCTTAACAAAGCCATTTCGTTAAACCTTGTTTTTGTTTCTTTCTCTTAGATGAAGCTAGATATTAAAAAACGAGAGGACCAACTTCAATTTATAGGGTTGATTAAGAAGACTCCTGAATTAAATAAGATAATTTGATTTTTTTTAATCGTCACCTATTTTTTGGTTCGAATCCCAACTGGTGTAATGTTTCAAAATTAAATTAGTAGAATATTGATTTTATACTTTTTGTTTGAGGTACGTTGATTTTATACTTTCTTTGTTTGAGATGAATAAAGAAAAAAATAATGAAGAAAGTGTAGGTATATTCGAAAGTTACTTTGAATAAAATAAAAAAAGTTTATTTTCCCAACAAATTTTGTCATGATAATAGAAAAAGAAGAAAGGAATTAATTATTAATATTATTATTATTATACAATACATTCAAATCATATTATAAGTCATTTAAAAAATCTAAATTATAAACTAGTTTGAATTATTTATGTAGTATTAATGAATTTTTCTTTTATTATTTATTATTCTCATTTTTTCTATTTTTATTTATTACAAATAATTTGTTTTTCATATAAAATTAATAGTCGAATGAAAAAGTGAATTAATGGCGGTTGGACATAGTCAAATTTGATTGTAATAAAAAAGTAGCCGCCAACGGTAGTAGGGTGGTGGAATGGAAATGGATAACAGTCCCACGAAACTGGATTACCATGATGACATGTGGAACCTCCAATCTACTGCCACACTTGTTTCTCACTTGAAGGTAATTTTTTATTTGCTTAACATTTTTTTATTTTTTATTATTGAATTTTTTAGTTATCGATTTTTAACTTTGTGAAAATGATGAAAAGGGAGATAATGGGAGGCATGTTTTGATATTGGATCGGACTATTTTCTATCCGCAAGGTGGTGGTCAACCGGCGGACACTGGATTTATACGCATTCATGGCTTAGATGTCAAGTTTTTGGTTCATGATGTTCGATCAAAAGATGGAATTGTATGTTTCTTTTTTATAAAATTATATTTTTGTTGTTAAAATTCTGTCTCTATGTTCGTTAATTATTTATTTTTATTTTTATTTTTGTGTAGGTTTTACACTATGGTTTTTTTGAGGGTTTTGGAGAGGAGTTTGAAACCATGCCCGAGAAAGGGAAGGAGGTTTCTCTATTTGTTGACGAGAATAGAAGAAAATTGAATTCTAGGTAGACAATTCTGCAATTGAATTTGAAAATTTGTAGCTCTATGGCACTCACACCTATGAAAAAGGCGTGTTTGTATTTGTATTTGAGTTTATTTCTTTTTTCAAATTATTACCGGTGTCGACATCGTGTTGATAGATTTGTAATTCTGCTACTAGGAATCTAATATTTTTTTTTCTTGTTTATTGTCTAGGTTGCATTCAGCAGGACATTTGCTTGATATTTGTTTGCCAAAAATTGGATTAGGTCATTTAGAGCCTGGAAAAGCTTACCATTTTTCTGATGGGTATACTGTACTATTTATAAGCCTTTTATCCCTTTTAGTTTTATGTGTAGTTCATGTACCTGCTATGATAAGTGATAAAATAACCTAAGTTTGTATCTGTCAAATCATTGGTAAATGTTTTCAAGTTAATGGAAATCTACATTTGTCTGTCTTTTAATTAGCAAGTCACCTTGTTGGCGCTTCGGATATTTTTCTAACCATATTGGAATCTCAAAGAAATGCAACAATTACTGAATTTATTTCTCTGACAATGCTTTAATCTTGTATATGAATGGATATGTTAACATTTTAGATCTTTTAGTGGCTTGTGTGGTGGAACAACCTTTAGACAACTTATAATGGGATGAAACCACAACTTTAACTAATCTCTCCTTGTTGTACTACCACAAGGCCTCTGTTCAAAATTATGTTAGTAAATTACAAACTTTACTTTGGACTTGCTATTTTGTTAACAGGCCTTGGGTTGAATATAAAGGTGTAATTCCACAAAATGAAATGCAGAATAAGCAAAAGGAGCTAGAGCTAGAAGCTAATGCTTTAATTTCCATGGGTGGGAAAGTAAGTTTAAGTATTTGTGCTTTGGCTTGGCAGTGGCGCCTTGTTGCATGTTCTGAAAATCTTCTCCCTGCCATTTAGGTTTTCGTTGATATATTACCATATGATGAAGCTGCTACGCTTTGTGGTGGTATTCTTCCTAATTATGTTTCTAAGGTCAGTCTATAAAAGAAATTTACTATGCCACAAATAATTCCTGTGTTCTTCATATTAAACTACTTACTGGTTTTCTTATATAACTGTGGTGCCTGTGAGTTTCTTGTCGAATAAGATTCCTTCTAGATTCTCTGCTGCAAAATTTTCCGATTTCTTATTTTTAAGAGTACCTCAACTGACAAAATATGGTATGTACATATGTTTATAAGTGAGGACAATCCTCACCATACAAACCGGTTTTGTGGGGTTGAGTTAGGTCCAACCACAAGAGAGAATTGGGGTAGTGCTTTTGTAGAAAAGATGGTGGACAGTGAGTCTAGGCGGTTTGAACACGTAGAGAGAGGACCTATAAATTTTGTAAAAAGAAGAGTAGAATAGATAGAGAGTAGATCAAATTATTAGAGGTAGGGAAAGATCTAGAAAAACGATCCAATGTAGCATGGGCACTATACAAGTATCCGATACGGCAATACGTTACTAATTGAATAATACAATATACGACACTGTTAGATATGCATATAAAAATTATAATTAAACATTTAGTTAAACCATAGTTTAACAAAACCAAATCATAAAACAATTTTTAACATATTACTAGATTGCAGAAAAATATTAAATCTAAGATATTGGAATAGTATCAATGTCGTCACTTTCTTCACCATCATCGTCGGTAAATACTAAATAGAGCGGCTTCCAAATTTGGGGCTTCCAAATTTGGTTCTTAAAGATCTGTAGAAGAAGAAAGGAACCTTGCAAAGAAAGGAACGTTGCAAAGTATCCTTCTGAGTTTAAAACTTTCCATTATAAATAATATGTAAAAATAAACTAATAATTAATATGAATTAAATTTTAAATATCAGTATTGATAAGAAATTATGGGAAATAAAACCGATTTTGAAAAATGGTAACTATCTTCAAAGAATTAATTTAGATATTAAAAAGAATGACCAAGAATGAAGGGTTATTAAAATGGGGAATAAAATATGAGTATTGGAGGCGTATTGCCGCCGTATCGGACTTTTTAAATTAATTTTTTAAAATAAATAAATTCGGATACTCCTTCGACACGTATCGACGCCGTATCGGAGCGTATTGGAAACGATTCGGCAAAAGTTTTGACTTGTGCTTCATTGAGAGAAACTATTAAGAGAGATTTAGAGGTTAATGAGTTGGATAGAAACATGATATAACTTTCTGCCATCATTTGCTGGAAACTCTTTACCAGCTTTCATGATAAAGTTTGGTTGTTGTTATTGTCATCCTGAAATTTTATTTTATGAAGATGGAAACTTTCATCCCAGCTGTTGTGATCAAATCAATTCAAGCCAAACATCAGTATTAATAAAGGAAACAAATCATCTTTATTCTTTCCTAATTTAGTGTTTGCTTGTTTATGTCAATAAGTACTCAGCAGTACTCTGTCTGATAATTTCTGTATGTGCATATATTTACTGGAATATAACCAACCCAACATTATCAATTTAAGGCAACTATATATCATGTTTCTTTCTCATTATGCTCTTTTATAAAAGAAGCCTTACCGGCCCTTGCTTTAGTTTCCACTCTAAGAAGTGTCTCGGTCTAACATTGTTTGCTTACCTCTACTTAAATATACCTAACAAAAGTTTCCCACATGAGGCGCCTCCCATGATATTTCCTACTAATTGTATGGCCTCACCTCTACTATTTTGATACCTAACAAAAATTACACGAGTCATCTTCTCATAATTTGTTCCCACTAACTTTATGCTCTCACCTCCATTTAACAAAACCTGCACATATAAGGCCTTCTCCCATCATTTTTTTCAATCTGAGGCCTCACATAGGCTTAGGCTTGGTCTTTACCTTGGACTGATTCTTTAAAGAGACAAAGAAAGAACTAAGAAATATATGGCACATATGTCAATCAGTGTATTTATCTCTGTTCTTAATCATAAACTATCAAAAAGCTAGTGGGAAGCATTTTTAGAATATCATTCTTATTGTACTTTCCTGGGATCTTTATTCCCATATTATATACATGCTTATACATATATCACAAGTTAAATGATGGAGAAATAATACAAAAAGCCTTTTATGTGTCTTCACCTAGCACCTTAAGCTTTTGGGAGTTTCCATTTATGGAATGCCGCAAGTCTCAATAACTAAGTGGTTGCCAGTTCACAAACTTTGCCACCCCCTTATAAAAAAGAAGTTTCAATTACAGGTAGATCTGTTTAGTGTTCAGTGTCCACACTTCATTCTCAGAGGGCTCTTGCATGAGTTGGCGTGTTACAGATATAAATTACTATAGATCAAGTTAAAATACATTAGTTTAAGTTTTTTGTTGGTTTATAACAACTTAAACAATTTTAAATTCCATCGTTAGAATCAGTCTGTTTTGCTGTTTAGTATATCCTGTTTTAATGTATGAAATCACACAGGAAAGCACACCTCGCATTGTGCGTATAGGGGATAATCCGGGCTGTCCCTGCGGTGGTACCCATGTTTTAGATCTTTCAGACATTACAAAAATTAAGGTGTGTAATCCATTTACTTCTTACACTACTCAACAAAAAGGTTGATTTGATGAATATTTACATTAATTTACTCTTACCAATTAGTCAAGCACATGTTTTATTCTGTTTTATATCTCACATAAATTGTTGGAATGAAACCTTTATAGTTAGGAGACTTTTGCATGATAGTTACATGTGTATTTGATCAGGTTTCTCAAATTCGGTCGAGGAAGGGATTGACAAAAATATATTACAATATTGAATCTTAGTTAAATGGACGAGTCTTCTGTCAATGAACTGTTGTTTTGAGATTCATGGCAATGACTTCTCTTGGATAAGCTATTTTGCAGATGAGAAGCTAAATTTGAATCATATTAGTCTCTTACGAACTATATTATATCTATTTATGGTTTTCACACTACCACAAAACAGTGGCTGTTATATCTAGTCATAGATGAACTTGGTAAGGTTTGTATGGATAATGAGTTTGAAATGAACAATTATGCAACATCTTTAGTGCAGCATATTCTCTTGGAGTTATATTATACTCCTCATTCCAAATTCTGCTTTCTCATTTGGATTTGGAATCAAGTTCAATAACCACCCTTTCCTTTTACTTCAAGCTCAAGCATCTTGACCGGTTTATAACCTAAAAGAATTTTTAATTCAGCATTTCTCACATGTCATGATCACAATGATTTTGATCTTTGTCCCCATCCTCACATTGATTGGATGGTAGTGATGAGTTTGGCACCTTTGTCCTCTAAACTTTTTTTCCTTTGCTTTGCCTACATGAAAACGAGGCAGCAAAACATGTTCATGTACATCTGCATATTCGTATTTGGTTGGTGTTGTTTATAGTATTTTTAGCAAAAGAAACTTTTAACTAGAAATGGGGCACAAAGTAACTCAATAAACAAGGGGGAACCTAACGTTGAGGGTAGGCCATTCAAATTCTTCCGTGCAGCATCTAAACATGACATATGTTGGGCAATAATTCAACATAATGGGCATCCTATCCGATTCCATAACATAAAGTAACGTAATGTTTCACCCAATTTTATGTTGTTTTCATCATTAAAACAAGAACTTAAGAAACTAGACTGACTAGAAAGTGGAAAAGTCTAATATGATTATTTCTAATAATAAAATTATGTTTGTATAAAACAATTAGGGAAGTATTTGCTAAGAAAAACCGTACACCATGGGTCATTCTTTGGTGATCAAGCTCCACAACATCTTCACCGTCTCTTAAAACTCAAACAATCTTTGACTTTATGTTGACAATACACATTCCAACTCATCATTAGTGTCCTTTTACTAGAAATTGGATGAGGCTTTAGTGACTCTGATGACTTGTAACTTAGTTGACTTTAATTATATTTATTTATTGAGAAAGTAAAAAGGGGAGAGAAGATAGACGAGAGAGATTATATGTAGGTGACAGAGAGATGCAAAATTACGGTTATTTTCAAAAAATTGAATGTTTTTACATAATTACTAACTTAATCAGACATTTTTATATCTAATTTTGGAATACAATTGTAAGATGTAGAAAACTAAAAGTAAATAAAAAAGTATAGTATAAAAAGAATTACATGATTTTGAATAATATTCATTTCAATGATTAATCTATAAGGCCAATGACATAAGGCCTATGAACAAATTTCAAGTAGAAAAATGTACTAAATGTGTAGACTTTCACTCTAACGAAACAAATGATTTTGCCCTTTTAACATATCAATTATTGTCTAATTTAATAAACAACGGGTAGCATAACACGTTATTTCACATGTGAGCAATTTTAAATATTTTAAATTCATTCTCTTTTACATTATTTATCATTCTTTTAGACATTGGAGTGCTAAAATTACATGTTCCTTCTGCTTCGTTGCATCGGAAGTATTGCTCGACCGCAGCAATACACAACTCCACCACTTCATTTTTTATTTCTAGTTCTTAATCAAACAATAGCGTCATATATGTGTATTAACTTATTCTGACAAATTTTTATGAAAAACTACTATCACTCCACCAAAGATTCATATCACCGATTTCCTTTCTTGAAACTTCATCTCCTCTTCATACAAATCTATTATCAAACTCATCAAGTATGGTGACATTCAAAGTCATTTGATCTGTCGCTCAAAGGTAAGTTGTTATTGAAGCCTCCAAAGCTACATCTCTTCCTCTCGATTCTTCGGTGGAATAGGTCTAGTTCTGGTGGCATTACATCTGATCATGCGCAATAAGATTCTATTTCTCAAGAGTTTGTCAAAGATTATTCCAAACTCTTTCATTCTTCAGACATATACAACAACCTAGTCAGGAAGAACCATCACACCGACCTCCGTCATAAGCTGTTGTACCTGGACAAGAAATACTCTTAAGCCTTCAACTGTTGCACGCAAATTTTGGAGTACAAGAAACCGTTGACTTATTGAACAATGTTTACAACCTAGTACACAAACGTAATTCATAATTCTTGGTCGATAGAATACTCAGTATTAAAGAGAACTTGCAATACTATATACCAAAAGACATACTATACAAGAGGTAAACGGGTATGTCCGTCCCATTTAGACCTACCCCGTAAAATTCAGCAAAAAAAAAGGGGCAGAACAGAGGGGGCATAGTTGAGGGTGCAAGCCTAAAATCTTGACTCGCCTCATAAAAATGAGAGTGGGGTGGGGAATGGTCGCTGGCTTTCCGCCTTTTAGGCTTAAAAATACAAAAATTTATGTAAATGTTCGTGCCTACAAAAACCTACAAAAAATGGGACCGGACGGGGCAGACATATTTGAGATTGCGAGCAAAAAACCTTATCCTGCCCCGCCGAAAAATGCGGTTAAAATTGGAATGTTCCACGGGTTGGGCACGTTTTGCCACCCCAAGTGATTGGGAAGGTGGCTAGGAGTAGAAGATAAAACGTAGGGGCAACAAGAATTTCCAAAGAAGAAACGACCCCCTCTCCGAAAGAAATTGTCCCCAAGAAACTTGTTAAGGTTGTGATTGGATACACGAAAAAGAAGAAGATAATAATAGCGAAGAAGAGGAAGACTGGAAAGGAAAACGCCAATACACCACATCAATTAATGATGGTCTTCCAAGAGAAAAAAAAACCCTAAAAGGAAATCATAAATATGATAATCATTTAGCTGATGGATGTAAGAAAAGAAGAGGGAACAACTTTGATCGGGGAGCCAAAAAGACCTCTCATTTGACATGTATGGGCAAAAGGCAAATGGGGGTGATGCAACCGATCCCCTAAGCTTTTCTCAAGCATCCATAGTCGATTAATAGTTGAAATCTCATCATGAAGCACCTCAAGATTAGGGCTAACGATCACACGCCTAACACCCACGCGAGGGGACGGGCACAAAGCATCTTCTACTATGTTTGAGTCAAGAGAAATCCCCACAATCGATGCCCTTGCAGCAACGTGAATGTTAGTAACGTCTGCCAGTAGGGGAACGACCTAAGGGGTCCTCTTCATTTGTTGCATTATTTTGTAACATTTCATCGTATCTGTACGTTAAGAGTAGACGAGTTAAAAAGTACACCACCAAAGAAACGTGCAAGAAAAAGGGGATTCCCCATATTACTTACCAAAAATTATATGTATAGCCTCTTTTGAGTTGACGTCTACCAGCAAATGCATCTCTATATACCATTCCTTCTGGTTCATCGATGCTACGTCAAAAGGGGTAACTTCGTCAATGAAACCCAAATCCTCGAATGAGGATATCAATTTCCTCTTAGGATGAACCTCCTATTGAGACAAGCCATCCATCTTATAGACGTAAATCCCAGAGTCCGCTAAGAAATGGCTCTGATGCCATAACATGGAGAATTGATCTGAACATTGATAATGTGGCTTGGGTTATATGGTACACAAGTTAGCACAAGTCGTCTCGATGAGAGGAGTAAATAAGTAGTACCAATTCTTGAAATGCTTCACACTCTCATATTAAACTTCAAACATCTTGGTACACTGTCTGAGAAATATCAAACCTTGATCCCGCGCTGAATTAACAAATATGTGTTGGGATTTAAAGTGATGGAAGAAAAATGTCATGGTTGTGTTTCTAGTGATTTCTGGTAAACAACCGCTAGTCTTCCAAACTATCGAATAATCTTTCTGACTGTTATTCAATTCCTCTGGTAACTCACGGGATCGACTAGATTGATCCTAGGACTCCTTGGATATTAAGGTTACTCTCACGATCGAACAAATATTCATGGTTGATGTTGAGTGCTGTATATGCGTTTGGCTTATTTCGATTTCTCTCTCTAAAAGTCTAAAGATGTAATCAAAATGTGTGTGTGAAACTAAGTTGCATGAATAAATGTTAATTGTAAAGACATGTAAAACTGCATAGAAATCAAGTAAATGGTTTCGAATTATCAAACAGTTAATATAAAGGATTTCTGGAACGTAAAAGGTTTGAAATATGAAGAAAGCGTTTAATGCAAGAAATCTTTAAATGACTTTTAAGTAAAAATATGCGTTCGAAGGATAAGACTTGAAGGTAAAGGTATGGAAAATATGACACTTTTCTGAGATATAAAGTGCTTGAAATGTGAGGAAAACATTAAAATGTAAAACTTTGAAGAAGAGATTTCGAAGTAAAAAGACTGTAAATGAGAAAACTTGTAAATGTTATTTGACAGAAAGATAAAGGAAAGTGCTGGAAATGGTAAAAGGTTTTCATTAAATCAGAAATACATGGTGCTATCATACATACATTTCTCTTGCATTCGTTTCCCTTGCCATGTGGTAGTTTGAATGTTACTGAGTATTTAGTATAATAGATATGACACACGAAATCCTAATACTAAGACTTCTATTTATACTAATTCGACCATAACGGTCTTGCTATAGGATTATGTCACGTTCAGAACATGCAGGACAATGCCTCTTTCTTCTTTCCACGTGTCCCCAAATGCACCAGCACATAACTTTCAAACTTCGAATATCCCGCTTCCATTTGAATTTCAAATGCTTTGGTACTTCTCCGTTTCGAACGCACTTCCCAGACACAGCCTTGTTGTTATTTCGAGACTTCTTTAGACATGTTCCCACAATTGCCACTCGAAGCTCCAAGCTTTGACATACTTATTCGAAACACTGCTTCTGCTACTTCGAAACATGACGCTTTACCTCATTTCAATCGAAACGTTTAATTCATTTGGCTTCTAATAACATTATCAAAATCTTCAGCCAACAAATTGCCCCTTTAAAATATGTATTTCGATTCCTCTGAGA